AAGCTAGATATCTAAAAAGCTGAAGCTACTTTTAGAGGGGGTTTTTTGTCTCTCCCCAGTAGTTGTAAGGTTAGTACAAGAAATATTATATTAGGCACAGAGATAAAGTTAACAGTGATACATACACCCTTCCATGTCTCCTCTGATCTACGTGACACAAAGATGTCAGTTATGACTGATGCTGCTTCTTGACATACTCATGCTGTCCTGCTCAAACTATCTATTCAATGCCCATAAATCACAACATTACTTTCAGTTGAAAATACTTTTGTCTAAGTATTAGGATAGATTACATTCCAATATCATATTTAGTATAAGTGAAATGCTTTACAGTTTTTAAATAGCCTACTGAGTTATTTACATATCTGGACAAGGTCCACAGCTGAAATGCAGCTACACCTGAGCCTGCTCCTCAGAAATTGAAATTCTGTGGTTGGAAGAATATAATTTTGATCTTGAGTGTGTCCACACTAGTGTTTTAATTCAGAAGCACATCTGAATTCAGAGCATGTCAAGAGTACTTTTCCATAGAATACCTCAGTATTGTCACCATGTCCTTGCACATCGTTTCACATTGCAGAGAGGTTCTGTAAAGTACAGCCTGGGCCCTTCCATGTGAATCTCAGCTGGAAGACATGCTCCACCTGATGCACGATGTTCACCAGTGGTCATTTATTCAGCCCATGGGACCGGACAAGAGTTAGGCTGTAGTAAAAAACAGTACATGAAATGTGTTCAGTGTGGACATGAGGTCCAAGTATTCTGTTCTAGACTCACTCTTGCAGGCTCACTCTGCATGGTTAATGTAGGGATGGCCTCCAGCCACATGGCAAGGCTGGAGCTGGACAGAAGTAAACTCTCTGGCTGGATTTTATCTGGCTGCTATTTGTCACTGTTGGTCACCATGTAACTTTTTAGTAGTAAAGGGGAAATATCACCACTGATGTGCTGGGTTTGTTTAGTCTTTCAGTAAAGTTTCTGTGGCATAGTATGAAAATCAGCTGTGAAAATAGACCTATGGATTCCTTCTTGTGCAAGTGGGATCTAAAGGAGCTTTGTGTGTAGCTTTGTGTGTTCACTGCATCATCAAAACAGTGCCGGTGACAGCATGTAGCTTATGAGTCCTTTTGTTTTTAAAGGCTGTGGAAAAGGAAAAGTCCCAGTAATTTCCATTTGTAGTCTTCTTCCTCCTTGACTGTAGCTAATCTCATAGGTTAAAAATAAATCATTCATCTGGAATGCTTTCCTTAATAGAATCAGTGAAAAATAAATAAAACTATTACTTCAGAAACCTCAATTAAAAGAAGCATTACTTTTCTATACATGAAAGAATGGAGGGTGAAATGCAAGTTCAATTACAAGTAATACAGCAAAACTAATCAAGAATATTTTGTTTTCTCTTATAAAATTGTGCATTTTTATTTATTTATTTTTAAAGAATGAACTGTCATAAGGAAAAGCTGCTCAATTCATGTGGTTTAAATCAAATCAGTATCAAAGCAGTTTATTAATTTATTAATGCCATATAACTAACCAGCAGTCAGTGAGCTGTACTTTCAGGACCAATATTAGCAATACAAAAGATGCAGGACTAAACAGTTAAGAAAGGTTATTAAACAGTTGTAAATTTCTAAACACCCTTCTATAACTAATCTCAAAAAGTTATAATCACACACACAAATGCAAAGATGAGCACCAAACCACCCCCAGGCTGTGTGGGTCACCAGCAGCTCCATTGACCCACGCAGGGGAAAAAACACCCCACAAGGCCCCCCACACACCAAGAGGGTCCTTGTGCGCCAGCCCACATGACTGGCCCTTCATGCTTTTTTTGCCCTTGTTTCAAGCTGACCTTTCCTTCAGAAGACTCTAATTCCCTGGTTACTATTCAGTCCAGCTGGTGGTCATCTTTCCCTCTAGCACAGTAAATTTGGAGCAAATGTCCCCTAAGAAAATTTGGGGTATTTCACTCAACACACATGGGATACGCTCACATTCCTCTTTTTCAGCTCTTGCTGTCCATGGCATTTTGCAGTGGCAGAACCATGTGGTCAACCTTCCAAATCATTCTTTCAGGGAAGACAGATTTGCAAAGTCAAGAACAGAATACTACTATTAATGCTTTTCTGTATCATTATTTGGAGGAAAAAAAAAAAGGCTCTTGTTTTCCATATTCAGCTGTTGCCATTCCTTCCTCTGTTACATTAGGCTAGTGGAAAGAACTTTCAGGTTCTATCAAAATCCCAACCTAAGGATTTTCAGATCACGGAATGCCCTTCAAATCACGCCAAACTGTAAAATGGGAAATATTCTTACCTGCACTTAAAACACATATGTAGAAGGCACACAGTACAAAATCCCATCTCAGAAAAAAAGCTGCATTCCTGTTTTTTCAGGATTTCAGAGTGACACATGAAGATACTCTTCTGAAATCTTCACAGTGGTCACAGAAAAAAAAAAATCTCTTAGTATTGTGTATTTCTGGACAGATAGTTAATCCTTGCCTGAAATTCTTGAAATACCTTTGAACAAATATTTTGATCTGGTATTCAGAGCATGAAAGAAAATATATTCTCATCAAGAAAAGACAGATTTATGAATTCAGTTTGTGTCATGTGGGGCTGACACTTTGCCATGATGATTAGTTTTTCAATTAAGAAAATTTGTTCTTGCAATTAATGAAAATCATCAGAGAACTGTAGAAACAAAAAATCTTCATTTGTCTAACATCAGGTATTTATTGACTGCAGTTTTACTCAGTCACCTTTTAGTACATTCGGAAAGAGTTCAAAATCACAAAGATCAACCAGCTTTAGCTTGATGCTGCTAGAAGAGCTCAAACGTGTTTAGGTTCTGAATATTAATTACCATGCTGCTTTAAAGGTAACAACAGTCACTTTCTCCCAGGGAGGTCATAGTTCTGATTGAATAAAGGCTTAATTACAGAATGTTATAGAATATTGTAGTAAGCTGCAGCAACAAAGCCAGCAAGTGGGTTATTCTTTCTTTGACAGTCCTAAAAAGATAATAAAGGCATGTGGAAAAGAGAAAAACATATCTGTTAAAAAAAATGAGGCAATTATGGATTAATGGTTTGTTTACTTATTCCCCGTTGGTATAGAAGAGAAAAAAGATGTTACTGCGAATCTAACTATTGTGCTTGCTATTATTAGAGACTTTTTTATGAGAAAGCCATACCAAATGCTATTTAGCAATAAGAATATGATTCATATTACTGTAATTGAAGCAACAGTTTTGTGAAAAATACAAGGACTCATCAGACAATTGCTGACATTAAATACCTATTAATAATTACTAATTAAAAATAAAAAAAATTCTTTTGGGTGCAAGGTAATACATTCCATTCAATTATGCCTAACCTTGCATGCAAAAATATATGCCACCATAATGTAGGCCATATAACATTCCATATTTTAAGTTTAGTCCTTTTGTGATCTTGCTTTTAAAACTTGAGGCTGGATGTTGCATCTCCTTGTAGGAAGTTTACCATAGAAAACATTATGGTGGAAGTCTGACGTGTGAATGTCCGACACATGTAATTTCTTCTTTTCTTTTGCCTTTCCTTCTCTCCTGCTTCTTCTCTATTGTGAATCCCTTCCACCTTGTGAATTTTCATTCTTCCTGTCACTGAAAAAATAACTACAGCCAGTGCAAAGAGATCTGTTCCCCTTTGCCAAAATAGGTGAAATGTACTTCAAGGCCTTTTTTTCCCTAGGGACCTCAGGCTTCTCCTGCAGTCCTTCCTAGGAGCATGAAAGTCTTGTCACTGCAGGTTGAGGTGGCTCAAGATTACAGATTCTCTCATCCCAAACTGCACCCAGGACTGCAGATCTCCTGAGTCCTGGGGCCCTCTTCTGGCAGATTTGTCTGAACTTATAATTAGCTTGGAAACACCAGCCAAGTGATTTCATTGTTTTGTCTTGACAAGCAGCTGTAAGTGATGCCTAAATCAATAACGTCCATCTGAAAACTTCCGTGTGCTGTAAGGTATTTCTAATGGACTCCTGAGTTCCAGTCGTCTGACAGGAAAAGGTCTGTGGGAGTTAAAAAGAGGAGTGTGAGTACATGGCTCGATGTGGTAATTTGGATGTAGCACAAGGTCTTAACTGTGAATGATAGGCAGCGTGGATAACTGCAATGTTTCACCTTAGCTGGTTTCAGAAAAACAAAATTAATCTCAGCCCTAGTCTTTCGGTCATTTTGTTCTCAGTTGCAAGACAAGCAGCAAACATGTCATCCTTTGTTTCTAAAATCTGATAACCACAGTACAGGAACAAAAAATAACGGCACAGATTTCTCTGCAATTTCCAAGGAAAGAGACAAAACCTGATTTGTTCAGATAAAATCTCCCTACCAAAGGCTGAATTGCCGAGGATTTATCTGCTATCTTCCTAATAAATATCCTTTGTGAAATTGGAGTGTAATTCTTTCCTAGGCTTTTTCCTGTACCTTTTACTGTTTTCTTCATCATTCTTCTTCTATTTCTGAGTATGTCTATGCATATCATAAGTATAATAATTTAAAGAGTTATGTAGTTCAGGATAAATTTTGTCCATAGTAAAAAGCATTTAAATTAATGTGTTAGGGAGCCTTATTTTCAGTGGAAGACTAGGTATCTCCCTTCTTTGCACTGAAATGATTTCCTAAGTTTTTGTACCTTACCCACATGCAGTTATCAAATGTTTAAAATCTTCAGTTCGCATTGTTGTATTGATATAGAATTATATCAAAAAGAAAATAATGATTTTTAACAAACGTGACCTCTTCAGTAGGGAAAAACAAACCAGAGCCAAACAGCGTACAGAATGAGTTCCACTGTCTGCACTGAAGACATTTAACTGGGACTGTGACCTTTAAAAAAAAGAATCAAAAAAACCCCACAGAAGACGAAAAGATGGGAAGATGTGTTGTGAATATGTGGATACCCTGTAGCTAACTCTGTATATGGTGAACTAAAATTATCTTTTTTTGCCCTATAGGTTTTTTAAGTACCGGAGACCAAGCTGCAAAAGGCAATTATGGATTGCTTGACCAAATCCAAGCTTTACGTTGGATTGAAGAAAATATTGGCTCTTTCGGAGGAGACCCAAAAAGAGTTACTATTTTTGGATCTGGGGCAGGAGCTTCGTGTGTCAGTCTCCTGACACTCTCTCACTATTCAGAAGGTAACAATCTTCTGAGCAAAGCACTTCTTTTTCCGAACATTGTAGTGTAATGAAAATGGCCATATCAGGTAGGCTGAATTACAATTACATGTGGTCTGTAATTTTTGTAAAATACCTACTAGCTAGTTTTTTTATTAGTCAACATAAATATTTTTATGTGAAAAATATAATGCTATTACAGCAGAAATTTCATGCAACAAATGCTGTGGGCAATATTTTTTTTCTAGCTTTATCAACAGTCTCCACTGGCTCATCTATCAAAGAATTTGCCCTAATTAAAAGGGAAAAGGACAGTGACCTTTTTCATTGTTTACACGCTCTTGTCTGCACTTCCAACATGTATTTAGATGCTTTCCTTACTTAATAATAAGATAACTTAACCTTATTAAAAAAAAAAAAAATTTAACTCCCCACACAGAGTTCTTAAGATTTTGGTAAATGTTTGTGTTGTGGCAGTTCTACCCTCAATACCTCATCCCCACCAAAAAAAACCCTAATAATGTACGGCACCAGTACTGAACCATAAATATTGTTGGTGATAAGACAAAATCTACAAAGAATTTATAAAAAAAGACAAGACCAAAATATCTATTGTATTTATAAGACCATGCTACTTCCATTACATTAAACCAAACAGAAATCTATGACAGAAAGCCAAGCTCTAGCAAGCGGTCGTAGCAGGGTGGCTGGTAAACACAACCCTATTTGGAAATACATAGACTTATGCCTGACAATTCAATCTGTTGATACAAACAGGGTGCAGTGAATAACTGTTGAGTAAACCATGACAAAATCAAGCAGATGGAGCTATGAGAAACTTAACTAATCACATAACTGAAATTTTGTCACGTGTGTAGTAACTAATCATCACGAAGGTATACTAACCACATCTAGTTTTTGCCATAAATGCTTCAAGGTCTTTAAATGTTTTTTTAGCTGTTGCTGTCTTTGACATTTCAAGAGATTGACAGTAGAAACCATGTGCAGAAGAGGCCCAAACATTTTAGTTAAAGTATAAAATAAGCCATTTTAGTGATCTTACCAGGAAAAAAAACAGATTGGACAGATTCACCAGTAAGCTCTAATTGCTTTTCAGTGCTCTGACATAAAGAAGCTCTTCAGACTGGGTATTTTATATCTTTTTACAGTGGTACATATAAAATAACCAGAATGAACTACTGAATCTTGTCTTACTCTCTTCTGAGAAATGTAAATATATAGTTTAATTCAACATATAGGCAGTGTTAACACATACCCCCCCCCAAAAATAGTAATAATTAAAAAAAAATAAGATGGTAAATGAAAAATTATGTCAGAGTAGAAGACTCAAGCCTACTAAATTGCTCTTAGCAGAGTAGATTTTTTTTCAAATTATATGATGCATGGCTTCTGTGAAGGAAATGAGAGTGTGTAATTTTCATTTGACCTTTAAACTACTCAAGAGCACATTTATGAGAGTCATTTACATGGTGAAGAGGATATAATTGCTTGTAGTTGCCACTCCTTTAAAGAAAATTTTACAGGACTACCACTGTGCTAAAACCAGGGGACCTCCATTAAAGATGCAAGAAAGCTGCAGTACAAGCATGAGGTTTTTTCTTGAAACAGTAACCTGAAACTTTCCTGCTTTATGTGTGTGAGCATCAAGAACAAGAGATTTTAATTAGTAGCCTATTAGACATACTGTAAAAAGGTAGCAGTGAGTAGAATATATGGAAATTGAATTGAAATTTGGGTATATGCATTCTTTAGTTATTGTACAATCAAAGCTTTCTTTGCTTAGTGAAATCTGCTTTTAATTATTTTTTTTCAATATATAATTGGATTTGCATTTAAACAATTTGCAGGTTTGTTCCAAAAGGCAATCATACAGAGTGGAACAGCCCTGTCCAGCTGGGCAGTGAACTATCAGCCTGCCAAGTACACTCGGATATTGGCAGATAAAGTGGGCTGCGACATGCTGGATACCACTGATTTGGTTGAATGTCTTCGTAATAAGAATTACAAAGAACTCATTCAACAGACCATCACTCCAGCCACTTACCACATTGCCTTTGGGCCTGTGATAGATGGAGACGTGATTCCAGATGACCCTCAGATTCTCATGGAACAAGGGGAATTCCTTAACTATGATATAATGCTGGGCGTGAATCAAGGGGAAGGTTTAAAATTTGTGGACGGCATTGTAGACAATGAAGATGGTGTTTCCCCCAATGATTTTGACTTTTCTGTCTCCAATTTTGTGGACAATCTGTATGGTTATCCAGAAGGGAAAGATACATTGCGAGAGACCATTAAATTCATGTACACCGACTGGGCAGACAAAGAAAACCCCGAAACAAGACGGAAGACCCTGGTCGCTCTTTTTACAGACCACCAGTGGGTTGCTCCAGCTGTTGCTACTGCTGACCTGCATGCCCAGTATGGATCTCCAACATATTTCTATGCATTTTATCACCATTGCCAAAGTGAAATGAAACCCAGCTGGGCTGATTCAGCTCATGGTGATGAAGTCCCTTATGTGTTTGGAATTCCTATGATTGGCCCCACAGAACTGTTCAACTGCAACTTTTCCAAGAATGATGTCATGCTCAGTGCAGTAGTTATGACATACTGGACTAACTTTGCCAAAACTGGGTAAGTTTGACCCCCAACATTCCTTTTCGTTAATAGCATACTTCTAAAATAGGCAGTATCCCGTTGCAGTGGCTTCAAACCCTGATCTTGCAGTAATATTATACACTATTTGCGTAAGACAGAAGGTAACTGGGACTTACTCATATTTAATAGATTTTTAATTAGTGTGTTCCCTCAAACTATTTTCTTTCAGTAGCTCAGTGAGAATAATAATGCACTGCATTTTTGATTCAAAAAATAGGGCAATTATTAAGACAAAGCATGTCTCAGAGAAAAGGCAGCTCACTAAGATACTGAAAAATCAGAGGCAACATATCTGCTACTTGAAGAAGGAACTGTCAGGCAGATAACACTTATCTGTTACAAAAGAAAGGAAGTTCTTGTTTGTAGCGACCTTCACAGGGATGGGGACTCAGGGAAGAATTGGAACAGAAAGGCAGATACTGGAAAGATTTTTCCTCTGAGGGCTATAATAGCAATAATAAGTACTTGACTGGAATGAAGAAGAGACTCAGATATAAATTTTGCTTTAAAAAGGTTAAAAATTTAAATTAATTCTTCTTATGAAACAAAATTAAGACATCAGTGTTTTGCTGGAATAGAGCTGTAAACATCAAGGAAAGAAACCTCAAAGCACCTTAATCTGCAAGTGCTATTAATCATTTCTGTCCTCTTCCTATAGCATTCCTTTAAAGAGTATTGCAGTATTTTACTTGAGCAGCAAGGGCTTTTTTGTTAACCTTGAGTCTTCGGTACTGAATTAAAACAAAGATACTTGTGACACAAAGGGGCTGTAAATCTTTCCAATGAATGTTTAATGGCAGGATTGGGCTCTGGAAACTGCTGCTTTACTGCACTGCAGTGAATAGTATGCAGCTATATAAGAAAAATTCAGAGATGCCTGGTGAGAAACATTCAGAGGCTTCAGCAGCTCTTGCAGCCTTTAATGAATCCAAATGACGTTCAAGGGGAAGAGATAAACCTCAAGCATGAACTGAATAAAAAACAATCAAATGCTTCAGGTCAATTTACAAGGCAAAAAGAAAGCTTTTGTTGCACTGCATTCTAGACAAACAGGTACTTTTGCATGCAGAAATCCCACAGTACTGCAACAATAGCGAATGAACTGTGAAAGATTTAGATGTATTTGACAACAAGAAGTCATCAGTACTGAGATGGGCAGTCTTCAGGATGAAAGCTTCGTTTATGGACAGAGAAAGCCGCATGCTGGCTGTACCGCACACTCAGAAACTTTGATAGATAGATACATCAGTCTGTCTATTTTTATAGATTAAGTGCCACATATACATAGAGGACTTCAGACCCTCACAGGTATACATCACTGGAATTATTATGGACATGCAAGGTCTCCACAGTCTCACTATTATTTACAATTAGCTTATGACTATTCCCTGTAGAATAAGAAGTCTTATTTAACCAATTTTTTGAGGCTGACAGGAGCTTCTCACAGTCCCAGGTGCCACTATTACTCGTCATTGCAAGCACTTTCCAAGTGTTGCTACTTGAAAGATAATTTCAGCAGGCTATACATGCCATCACTCACTTCTCTGGTTATGAACCCATTGTCATACTCACCTAAAGGCACAACAGATGCTTTGGGAGAGCCATTAGTCATTTCTGAAACTTTGCCATTGCTAATGAGACAGGAATGGGGTATATCTTCTATTACAAACTTGTCCCTTTATAGACAGTCTGAAAGAGGTGTTATTAAAAATGACCTCTAACTGTAAAATTCCAGTTTTCACAAGGAAAGGAAAAGAGCAACACCAGATGTATTACCTTGTTGTTTTTTTTTTCTTTGTTTATATGAACATTGATTAATTGATTGGATAGTACAAGAGAATAGTTGGAAGAAAGTAATATTGTTTTGAGATTACTTTTGCTCTGCACCTTTGATGTTTCTAATGGAAAAGGGAAAGTTGTAGCACCTCAAGCCTAGAGCAACAGAGGACATATCTGGGGTAACCGTTCTCCTCTCTACCCTCCAACATACAGTCTGGAATCCATGTGCCCACTCAGGTCCTCCAACGCTCAAAAAGATTGATATGGCTCAGGACTGCATTGTTGGGAGCTTTGTTTTGTGTTTTTTCCACCCTTTTTTTAATTGATCATTTCCCATCCTTATTCTAATAGAACTTGGCTTGCTTTTTGTTTGTACCCATGGCAACACATACAAAAAATCTGTTAATTGAAAGATATTATGATTCCACCTCTTCCTGTAAGTGAGCCTTAACATTAAACCTGCAGATTAATTTATTTAATTTTAATGTCTCTGAGACTTTTCCAATCTTGATGACTCTCCCACAGAAGCTGTATCCAGGTACTTATTGTATAATTACAGCTCAGGTGGTGCATCATTCTGATGGGCTGTGCTAGGCTTTTAACTGACATGCCACCCGCTGCTAAAAACACACTTTGTTTAATGGGTCTGGTGCCAAGGCTGGGTTTGCAGGGCAGGTCAATCCTGTAAAATCACTAGGTCAAAGACACAGCACAAGGCACACAGTTTTTATTGTGTTCTACTTTGAAGTCAGTTACTGAAGCTAGCAAATAAGAGGTGACAGTTAAAGTGTTTAATGGCAAATGGATGGTGCTTGATATGAATACCTGGAAGCTGCATTTTGTTAATCCTCCATTTACTACCTTGATATGACTTTTTTTTTTTATTAACAGTCTGAACTATTTTTCTAACATGCCTTAGAAATAAGAAAGCAATTTGTTACACAGTAGGTGTGAAAAACTATGTTTGGGATACAAAAATGACATGAAAATACAGCTTTTGATTCCACTATCTGTAAAATTATATGCGAGCTTCATTAAGAGATGCAGTTAAAGTTCAGTCTGCTGCCAGTAGCACTAACCTAAATTATCCTAAATAATTTTATATGCTCAAATGTTCTGTTAGTTAGGGCCATGTTACATCCTTTGCAGATGCATCAGCAGAGGGAAAGTAAACGACATAGGGGATGGGTGCCAGTCCTTCATGGATACTTTGCTAGCTACATTCTTGTGAAGAAGGATTTGAAGTTTCATAGAGTACATACGAAGCCATGCTCTCGTTAGTGGCATTTATCGGGTTTCTAAAAATTACCCTCTTTTGAGGAGTTGTAAGAGTCTATTTTTGCTTCCATTCATCCAGCTCTATCTAGCTTGGTGATGGGAAAGATAAAGACTTAAAGGATATATCCTTTTTTTTTTCTTTGTAATTCAGATAAATACTCCTGAATTATTTTACTACCATTGATTCTGAAGCAAAAACCTGAGTTATTAAGGATGTCTACGTTTTATATTGTTTGGCTTTCTAATGGAAGACACAATTAAACTTACAACGCTTAAAGTTTCAAATCAATTCTCTGTGAACTCCTTTATAAGGCTGTTGCATTCTTTTTGGTGTTTTTCGCTGAAGAGATAACTGTCTCCAATGGCCAATCTGTGTTAGTCAAATGAAGCAGTGTACTTACGGTTTGCTTTCCTTAGTAGCAATAATAGCTGACTGAGAGCATGGCAACAGTGGGACCTGGTTATAAGTGAGGAAAGGAGGTAAGGGAAAATATGCTCGTGTACCAGTGCTTCAGGCAGGAATGGCTGTACCATTATTAATATTGTGACAACATGAAAAATCATTGGAAACATGAAGAAATGCCACATAGTTTTTCTCTCATTTTTTTTCTTTCCATATGGAGAAAAGAGAACTGATGAAAGAAAATAAATGATCAAGGGACCTTTCAGTGTCTTGGAGACAGACTCCGTGTGTAACTGATAAGACATTTTGCTCTCCAACGAAGTTAGAGAATGACACAAAAGAATAAGAATAAAATAAAATAAAAAGTGCATTAACGTAACAGTTCCATTGTCCTAAGTGACTGTTAATGCTGTTGCAGAAGTGGTTAAAAGATAAATAATATTTCAACATGTTATATGGAATTCAGGATAAGAGAAAATTTCTTAAGATTCCCCACCATTCTTCCCATGCCAATAACACTAGATATGAAATATTCAGTTCCATCATTTGCCCTCCAGGTCAGCTACTAGTTCACCTTGTGAACATGAATGTGTGTTGCTCTTCAGTCAGCATCCATTGCAGACACATTGACTTTATATCACCTGAGAAAAAAATCAATGCTTTGAATAAACATTTGTAGCCCATGAGGAGTGAATCAAATTACAATAAACAGCAATATGTTAAATTGAGCAAAAACAATGCAGGCTGAAAGTGGGCAAAAAAAGTGATAGGTGAAAACAGATGATTCTGCAACATTAATAAAAAAATACCCTAGATAAGACAAGAAAGACCATCATACGGTCTTCTATCATATGGAAGACAAGTTCAGGCTTCTTATGATGGGGCATTTTTTGATGGAGAAACTGTTTAAATTAAATTCTAAAGGTGGTGAAAATAAATCATCGGAGAGCAAAATAAGAAACAATAATCATCAATTTTGTTTTAGCAATAGGATGAAGGAAAAAAGAAGCCTCCCTGTGAACTAGTAGGATTGGGAAACAAGTTATCTAGTCTCTATGAGAGCCATTACTGGAAGAAGAACAGAAATGAAAATATATTATTCAAATTATGTTTTAATCACCATGATTTCAGTGGGTTTTTAAAAGGAAGGTTTCTTAGCAGCCTTTTGTTCTGTGATTACACACTGGAGCCTGAAGACTGTCCAGAAACACAAAGGTGATGTGAGAGGTTAAAAAAAGCAAAAGGAAATTTGAAGCTGAAGTAAGAGATCAAAAGTTTTGTCAAATAGCTGATTTGATAGGAGAAATGATTGTAGGCACATCTATATTTTATGCCTATTTATAATACTGGAAAAGTGTTCATAATAGGATAAACTGCCCAGCTACCCAAGAAAAAGACTTAATGTCATAAGTTGTAATGTTATGATTTTATTAATTGTCTCCAGTGTCCACAGGAGGAGGGCCAAGGAAAGTAAAAATCGTCTTATTTTTATTCACTGAATATATTTGGAAAATTATCATTAGTCTGTAAAACCAAGATCTATGCATTATTAGATCTTCTATTTAGGACGGGACTTAGTTATTCCATTTTCTTGTGAAAAATAATCATATAGATACCTACCCTCCAAATTCAGAGAGAATATTCAGACCATTTATTCAGTTGCTAAGCGATCAACCCTAGAGTTGATGCCAATGGTAAAGTTCTGATACCCTCAGCAACGAAATGACTTGTCTGTAGGGCTGGCTGATTTTTTTCTGTGTTCTTTGTTTCAATGGACAGCTTCATGCCCCCACACAGCCGTGTAAACAAAACCTGAAATACAAGATTAGCCTCAGGTAATGTAATTTTCTCTCTTGTGTTTGGAGGAGGTGGCAGCATAATTGGCTATTCCTAATAGATATAGTTAAAAAGGGGAGATGGAGGTAGAGAATGGAAGAGAGGGAAAGGAAAGGGAAGTTGATATTTACTTGTTTTGTAGGCTGTTTGTAGGGGGAGGGAATACTAATTTAAAAATATTTAGTTGCTAAAATCACCATCTGCTGGCATTTTTATGGGGCCATTAAAACAAAGGTAATTAAAAAAAAGTGCATGTCCAGTTTGGCTCTTTGAAATGAGTGTTCAGTTTCTTCATCTTCTGTACTGTGTATCAAGTGTAACTCGTTTACATGAGCTAGCTTAATTTATATATTTTCTGCAGGACCCTTCCCAGAGTCTTTTATGCTGTCAGTCAGAACAGCAAGTGGGAGGAACACAAGTCTTTTCTGCTGTAACTCTTGCAGGATTCTTTCGGACAAGAAAAATGCTTTGCAATTTGATAATCTTGCTGATTTTACTTTGCTTTAGAATGTATGTGTTGAACCCCAAGGTACTACAGTAGTAGCTATATTGATTTGAGACAATATCATCTCCTGTGAATTTTCCAAATCTTTCAGTCTGCTCTTTAAGAACAAAAGAAATACTTCTATTTCCTTCTTGAAAGCATGTTACAATCCCTCAAAGTAGCAGCATACATTTGCTGTGGTACTACTTGGAAGTGGATATTACTTCTCTAGGTCCAACTAGGATGAACAATTACTAAGTAATTAATTTTTTGTTCAGAATTAACACAATTTGGCTAATTACTATTATATAAAATGAAAAATAGATAGATGGATGGATGGATGGATGGATGGATGGATGGATGGATGGATGGATGGATGGATGGATGGATGAATGGATGAAATAGCCACAGTTCTGGAATCCCTAGTTTATATCTTATTGAGATGGGAAAGATTTGATACAGTACAATATAAAAAAAAAGAAACAGCCCCCCAAAAAACCTAAACACCTAAAACCACAAGCATAAATAAACCAAAGTACCAAAATTAGATAGAAAAATAATTCTTCCTTTCACTCAAAGAAAGGTAAGATAAATTCTTGCAGGTAAACAGATGAATACAGGAATCATAAGATTATTAAAGTCAGATTACCAGTCTGGTTTAAGAACTAAGGAATAGCTCTTTATGAACAGCAAAGGAATGCTAAGCTAGGCAATCATGTTCATGAGCTTTTGAAAATGGAAAAAGAAAAAAACTAAGATGCTTTAAAATCTCTAGCAGTGGGTCTTAGTATTCCCATAACATACATAACAGAATATTGGAAGAAAAGGAAAATATTAGAATAATTTTCACAGGAAATAAACTAATACATATGGGAATGGAAAGGAGAATGGAAAGTTCTTAATGTAATGCACAGAAAATGAATCATGTACTTTCAGTATAATATATCACAAAGCCCCAGAAAATACTCTTTGCTGCAAAAGAAGATTCAAACTCATGAACAACAGAATATTAAACTCAGTAATTTTAAATTTCATTATTTTTCCATGTCAAGAGGAAGTCATATTTACATAAAGTTTCCAAAATTATAAAGATACATAGACAATAACCACATTTAAATGCTTTTTGTACCATTGGTTTATTTTTATTCTGAATCTATAGGACGACAAGAAAAAAGAAAAGATGGGAAAAGCATAATTCCAATTAAATTTTTGGATTACCAATTTTGAAATTATCTCCAAGTAATGTACTATTCTTACCTCTATTGCTGCTTAACTACTATACAACTTGTTGGTCTCAGCTGATATATCTCTCATCCCTACAAACTGGAGCAGAATTAAGGCTCACTGTCCTACGCCCATTAAACATTATTTAGTAGCAATGAGCACATGAAACTTTCAAATAGTAATCTGCTGATGCAAACAATGGAAAGATTTGTGACATACAAATACTTCAAAGGATTTGCCATAAAGTAGATATTTGAACGAAAGGGGACTAATAACTCAGTAAAGGAACACAAATAGTTCACAGTTACATGTATTAGCCCTGCTACTTCATGTTTTGAAGTTTTTTATGTAATCTAAACAGCTAGTATGAATTTTTATGGTCACATGGACTTCCAACATTGCCACAGGGATTAGATGCCCGTATTTACTACTTACAACAGTGGAAGTAGTGGCACCTTAAATGAGAAAGTTAATGTCAAACCTTGAGAAGAGCTGAACTTATACTTTTACTATGGGGAAAGGTAGGTAATACCTCTCTAAGACAGCTTTGAAGTATGTTACTGCATGACAGAACTTCAGATAAGCTTTTGGGAGCTGAAACAGAACTCTTTGTCGTTTTCATGTAAAAAAGTATTATAGTGTCTCAGATGTACAGTAAGTAATTTTTCTTTTTTTCTTTTGTTTGTTTATTAGCATCTGTTGTGAAGATTCTGTTTTTAAGTTATGGTAATTATCAGACAAACCATTAACTAAAGGATGGAGAGCTTTTTTGGGTTTTTGGTTTTTTTTTGGTTTTGTGTTTTGTTTTTTTAATGGCTATAATATTACCTGTTTTTATTTTTGTAGAGATCCAAACCAGCCTGTTCCACAAGACACAAAGTTTATCCACACAAAACCCAACCGCTTTGAAGAAGTGGCCTGGTCCAAATACAATCCTAAAGACCAGCTTTATCTGCATATTGGCCTGAAACCCCGAGTTCGTGATCATTACCGAGCAACAAAAGTTGCTTTCTGGTTGGAGCTTGTACCTCACCTTCACAACCTGAATGAAATATTTCAGTACGTTTCCACAACAACTAAAGTCCCCCCTCCTGACATGACATCATTTCCTTATGTGACGCGACGTTCACCAGGTAAATTGTGGCCAGCCACCAAACGTCCAGCAATGACACCTGCCAACAATCCCAAACATTCAAAAGACACCCATAAAACAGCTCCAGAGGATACGACAGTTCTGATAGAAAACAAGCGAGATTACTCCACAGAGCTGAGCGTCACCATTGCTGTGGGGGCATCCTTGCTGTTCCTCAATATTTTAGCTTTTGCTGCATTATATTACAAGAAGGACAAGCGGCGTCACGAGACTCACAGGCGCCCTAGCCCCCAGAGGAACACAACCAACGATATCGCACACATACAAAATGAAGAGATTATGTCTTTGCAGATGAAACAGCTAGAACATGACCATGAGTGTGAATCACTGCAGGCCCATGACACACTGAGACTAACCTGTCCACCTGACTACACGCTTACTTTGAGAAGGTCCCCAGATGATATCCCGCTAATGACACCCAACACCATAACCATGATTCCAAATACATTAACAGGAATGCAGCCTTTGCATACTTTCAACACCTTCAGTGGAGGACAAAACAGTACAAATTTGCCCCATGGACATTCGACCACTAGGGTATAGCTCAGCCCTTCCCTCTCTACTCTCACAAGCCACTTGGAAGAATGAAAAAACAAAAAACAAAAAACAAAAAAAAAAAAAGAAGAGGAAAAAATTATGATACCGTCCATTGAACACCTTGTCAAAATCTAAAGTAAAAACAAGCAAAAGTGAAGGACAGTCATTATTTTCTTACTGATCCTTCCCACAGAAACTCTCTGATGTTAAAGATCAGCTACAAACCCTGTGAAATGTGAAAAGTGTACATTGCTGTTATGATACTGCTTTAAGATCTCAGCCACTTTGATTGAAAGTTGAGGCCAGAAGAAGTCACTTAAAATGGTGTTTTGAGTGTAACAAGCAAAGCAGAGTCTTCTGGAACACAGAGCCAGTGACTGTACAGGTGTTTTGTTTTTTTGTTTTTGGTTTGGTTTGGTTTGGTTTGGTTTGGTTTTTTTAACAAATAAAATAATTAAAAAAATTGTTTATGTGCCATACCATGAATGGCCCTTGTTAAAACAAAGACATCACAATGGGCTTTTACCCGGTATATGAAGCTGTAATCCAGATGGGGGAAATAGAATTTTATTATTAAAAACAAAAATGAAAAAAAAAAAAAAGAGGAGGACTGACTATGCAGTAAAACACGTATAGTTCTGTGCAAAGAGATGACTTGCCAGCCTGAACTATATTTAAAGACACTTTGTAAAAATGTACATAGCTGTGAGTTTAAAAACAAACAAACAAAAAGAAGAAGCTTTTATTGATGTTTTCAGTTTGAAAAGAGCTTTTAGAAAGATTGTGCATTCGGTTGTGACCTATGTGTATATACATTAGTCATATCACCTCTGTTTCCTCCAAGCCCAAAGGAGGAGTTTCTTCTTAATTACTAGTGGTAAACAAAAACCATGAGTTTTTTCTAACATGTTTCATTTATAAAAGGCCATGGTGTCATGCAGAGGATACAGTTGTTTGTGTGACCTGCATATTTTCTCTTACAGGTTACACTAGTGCATGTTAAAGTATTCATAGGAGATTGTTGTTCTTTTTCTGAAACTTCTTTTGCTATAATTTAATTTTGTGTTAGCCTTTCTTAAATTGCAACACAGCAATGGATTGGAAAATGGGTGAAAAAAAACACGAAAGAAAATCATTATTATTTTAAGCTTGTTGAACTGAACCAAGAAACATCCAATAATATATATTGAGAGTCCAGTTTATAGTTCTTGGTTATTGTGATGCATTAGGAAGAGTTTTGTGCCCTGACAAAAGCAAAGATAGCCTGTGTTTTGGTCAGCCTTTTCTGAGGAAAACTAGCTCTCTATTCACCAGCAGTTGCAGCAGAATCTCAGCTGAGAAAGCACCTTCTTAGCTGTGCTAAGCGAAATAAAACCACAGTTTGAAAGTGGGGAAATGGTGGGTTGGTCGGCTGGCTGTTTTTTAAAGTGTTCAGAAACGATCAGTGTGTAAAGAACTTCTCTGCCCAGTATCCTGTTTTGTGTTTGAGAGCATATCTCTCAGAAAATACTTTTTTTGCTTATTTATTGCGCAGCAGTCCCATAGAGAACATTATGAAAAGAGAAGCAGAGATGTCATCAACTCTTCTGCATCTGAATAAAACCAAAAATCCCAGAGAGCATCACTCTCAGGAAGGGCAAAATTTTTAGTTCATTATTCCCTTCTGCCCTTCCTTCACTAGGAAACCAGGGGCCAAGCACAGCTATCAAACAAAAGGACTTAGCTGTTTCATTCAAACAACTGATTTGAATGTGAAAAGCTAGAAATAAGTTCTCGCAGATGAAGATTGCTTTATATTTTGTCTTTGAAAGTTACTCCATCATTGAGAGATAGTAACCAAAGATAGTTGAACAAATTGGTCTGCACTTCAACATGATTATCCCAGATGTATTTTCTATTATTAATTCACAACTAAGCTGCATCAATATCATATGTCCCATAAGTATCTAACACAAGCTGCCTTGTACCTCTTCTTGTTTTCTACGCTTTTTGTTTTCTAATAAAATATTTTGGAATAATCACCCTACAAATAAAATCAAAGACAAGGTGATTAACTGAGGTCTATTCATCTGCACAACTCCTTGTTGTAGCAGGCAGTAACACGGATTCTGAAGGAAAGAAATAAAAAGAAAGATGATGATATGATAAAAATGCAACATGTGGCTGATATAATCCTTTCTATGTAATAAATGTGCTATAAACCTGACCTGGATGCTCAGGTTGGAATGTGACGAAGCAACAACTCCAAAGTAAAACTAGTAGCAAATGAAAAACTTTTTTTTTTTTTTTTTTCCCACTGGTCCATCCCATAATGTTGATTAATGCCGACTCTTTACCAGGCCATTTCCACCACCTATGTAATGCTTCAGCTGAGACACACCAGTTCATGACTCTTAAAAAAAAAAAAGGTAAAAAAAAAGAAAAAAAAAAAGAAAAAGAAGAAAAAAGTGAAAAAAGGTAATGATGCTTGGCATCATAATCAGTCGGGTATGTTTGTAATGTGAATTACAGTATTTGTTTAGTACTTCCAATTGTCTTCTGCTAGCAATATGTACAGTACTGTGTCAGGCTTGTGACATTTGGGTAAAAAAAAAGTTCCTGTAAGTGAATGATTTTAGCTTTTAAAGGTAATTACAATCAAGTTGATTTAATAATTTGATACATCTGGACTGATGTATGATTTATAGAGGGAACAGATTTATAGGGTCTTCATAGAATTCTATAATAATGACATCAAAATATACTTTGCAAACTGTAAAAGAAAAACAAACTACTTTCCCAGGCTTATATTCTTGACCTTAAGAGGCACGCAGGGTTTAATGGTTTCTTCTGTTATTGTTTTGCAATTTTTTGTTTTTTGCCTTAAGTAATGATAGAAGATATATATGGCTGGACACATATGTATAAACTTTTCAGCAGCATTTTTAATAATAAAATATCACAGTATTTTCTAATGCTTTGTGCAAAGAACTACGTGTTCATCCTTTTGTGTAGAAAGTCTTTCAGAGTTGTGTTTTCTGCCCCATCTTCATTTCATTATCTAATGTAAACAATGCCTTGATACACAGTACAAAAATATTAAAGTAACAGAGGTTACACTTTTAAGTTATCATTGAGTTTTCATGGCTTTTCTAGTTCTCTAAGCCTGCCAGTAAAAAGAAAGAAACTCAGACAATGAAGACATAAGAGAATAAGCTACATATATTTATTGCCTGTATGCACTGCAACTCACACTGAGGCCATGGTTTAATCGTTCTGTTAGTATTTTCTGCAGCACTGAAAAAAAGCTTAAGTAAGCAGCTTCCCATATTAGTGTATATCTTAGCAGCTGAAAAATGTATCTTCCAATTTAGGGATCAAAGTAATTCAGATAAATCTAATACATCCAGCCTCCACAAGTAAATATATTTTCATTTTATATTTAAAATTTAGGTAAATAATGACTTTAGTTATAAAAAAATATGTAAGAGTAGCAATATAAGTTACTCATATATATTTAAGGGATTTACATATATTGCAGGTATGTTAATATCATTCTTCCTTCAAAAACTGAGTAAGTAAATATAGTTTGTTCTTTTATGCTGTTAAATTCCATTTATCAAGCAGGTTTCCTTTCACTGGAAAGGTACATAGACATTTTAGTAATTTGAGCTGGGTATTGTTTGCTTTCTGTAACTATTCTGCTGAACAGAGGTACTAACAATAATGTCTGATGAAGTTTGCGCATATTATTGAAGAATATTTGCAAAAAGCAAATTCTGAATTATTCATATCAGATTTTTGATATGAAGAATCAAGCTTCTGAGATAGAAACTTATGTGCCTACTGACGTAATCAAGTAGCTTGAATTTTGAATTTTGAATTTGTATATAAAGCTTTTGCAAATAAACTGCAGATTTAAAATTGTTCAGCAAATATGTTTAACTACAGGAAATTCCACAGCTTGCTCTGAGATAATTCGTACAGAAGAAAAGGGGTTACAATTGTCAAGAAAAGGGGTTACAATTCTGTAATTTCTGTGAATTGTTCACCTTAAATTGCTGGGTGAACTCAGTAAATTTCCTTCTTTTCAGTTAATCAGTTTCACATTAAAAAAAGAAAAGCTTCAGAGGTCTGTTCATGCTAACTAAATATTGTGTTTATTTCTTTACTGTCTGAAATATAAATCTGCAGATTAGTATGTTCCTATTTTGACTTTGCTGAGAGTATGACAATTTAATGATATTTAATATCACATAAACATCATATGAAATAGTACTATGACAATTATGTGCTTGTTTCAGATTTGTATTATTTAATTATTGTCAACTGTTTCTCGTATTTTCATCTACAGCTGTTTGACATCACAAACCTCATCAGCCTGAATCTCTCCAGAGGCCATTAGCAGCTGGTAAAAACTGGGATTTTCATCCCATTAGAAATTATGATATTATGTATTTAATATCATAATAATTTAAAATGCTTGTCAGCACCTCAAATTAGCCTGAAAAGCAAGATATTAACCTTTTATTAATGCAAATGAAAAATAAGGAAGGGGTTTGGAAATGTCTAAACATCTTGTCTGAGCTGTAGCATAATAAATAACATTTCACTTTGGGATGAAGTTTTGATTCAAACCATTTTGTTTGGTGTTCCACTGTGGCCACTGAGGTCCTCACTGTGTCTTCGAAAAGTTATGTTTCAAGGAAGTTATGCTTTCTCAGTCTTTTATAGCCCACCCAGACTACTTTATCTAAATTTTACTGTTGTAAAGAAACCCGTATCTCTCAGGGATAACATAGGCGCAATCCAGTCACGAAGTCCAGACCAGAGAAAGAATTTTGTCATAAACCACATAAACTCCTGCTCCCCTGAGTGATTACCCCACAATGGTAATTAAAGATAATATATATTAATATTCCAACAATTCAAATGTAAAATAAGCATATAATAAATTAAGTTCATTCCATTTTTTTCCATGTAAAGTTGACACATTTTTACAATACCTACATTTTCCCAACTTCACTTTCCACCCATTCCCCACAAAGAATAGAAAAATGTTTTCAGCC